CAGACAGACAGACAGACAGACAGACACACACACACGCCCACACGCGCACATGCGCGCGCGCGCACAAAGGCACGTGCACGCGCGCGCGCGCGCCTGCGCCCGCGCGCACGCGCCTGCGCCCGCGTCCACGCGCACGCGCCCCGCGCACACGCGCACGCCACGCGCCCGCGCCCGCGCCCGCGTGCGCGCGCGCGCACACGCACACGCGCACGCACACACACGCAAACACACCCACACATACAAATACAGAGACAGACAGACAAACACACACAGAGACACACGCGCGCGCACACACACACACACGCACACACACACGCAAACACACCCACACACACACACAAACAGAACGACAAACAGCCAACGCGCACACAGAGACACACACACACACACACACACCTCACGCGGGCCTTGATCGGGGCCCGCTCGCACTGTCGGGCCCCGGTCGGGCACCGCCTTTGCACAGGTAAAGCGGCATCCCAAGCAAAACCGGCGGTGCGCTATGATTGGTGGCTTGGATGGGTGGTTTGCTTCCCGGGCTGCGGTCGGGCCCGAGCACAAAAACGAGCACTGCATGCTGTTAAAGAAATCACCTGAGCTTACTTTGTTTGCAGGTACCCTTTTAAGGGTAATTTCGAAGGAAACCAAAAAACACTACCATTTTGGCGGTCCCCCCAAGTTCAACACACACCCAAACGCTCTCCCCAAAATGTTCAGAAACTCGGGGAGTGAGACCCAGCCTTTGCGGCTTTCTCTCCTTCACTGCCCAGATCGCTGGCTCTCTCGTCCAGCAACTTCTGCAGCGTCTCCAGTGTGACCTGTGGGTCCCCGCGGGGCGTGGCGCTCATTGGACTGATGCCCATGCCTTGGCTGCGGAACCCGGCCGAAGATTTCAGTCTGCGATCATGTCAGAGCAAACATCTACGCCAGGGTGGATGTTGGCATGTGTAAGCGTGGGAGGGGATGACTAACCCAACATGGAATTCTGCCACGTACTTTCACACTGTAAGGTGTTGCCACAAGTTCACCAAGATGCCCGGGATCCGAATCGTCTTCCGCACTTTTCGGACCTTTCGGGGGTCCTCAGGCTGGGAGAGCCGCATGATCAGGTCCGCTTTCCGGCCGGAGAGCTTGCATTGCTTCTCTCGGCAAAGCTCTTCAAGCTCGGGCTTTTTCAGGCTTTGGAGCTCCTTCGGTACCCGATACAAACTTAAACACTCATGAATTTGAACCCCGCAAAAGGAGCTCCCCCTTACAGCAGGCTGAAACGGGGCAAACCCCCTATGGTTTCAACAACCCTGTTAGGTTACCCGAGAGGGCTAGGATTTGTTGAAACAACTTTCTTTGCACTTTCTCCTTAGCGTCCAAGGGCACCCATGCGGGCAAAGGCGTCTCCACAGGGAGACTCTCAAAGTCCTTCTCCTCCAGGGTGCTTCCATGTGGCCCCAGAGATGATGAAGTTTGACCAGAGGGAAACCAAAGGACCGAAAACCCAAGTTTCTACCCGGTGTTGGCCTCTTTAGATAAAGGTGGACAAGGCAAAGAGGAAGACCATAAGTTGGGCTGGTGAACGACAGGAAACCCAATGGAACTTCTACGTCGATCCTTGAACAGCCAAAAACTCCTGGCCTCTGCGGCAAAGAAGAGGTGTCGAAGCTGCAGCGGGGAGTTGAGATTCAAGCCTTCCAAAGAGTCCAATGCAACGCCCAAACGGGCAGAAGCTGCATCCAGAAAGGCGCTCTCCAGCTTGTCCTTTGGCTGTGGGTCAAAACCAATGATACCAATTTGGGCTTCATTTTAGTCTATTTTAGTGGGGATTGGCATGTTCACTGGGGGTATGGGGTGTTGACCCGTGGCCCTTTCAGAAACCCGGTGAAAATCCATAAGACTTGGCGCCCTGTGTGACTTTGAAGGGGAAATCCTTTCGTCAAAGAACAACGCACAGGGGTGCGGAACTCTTGTTTGTTGGTTGTCTAGAGGGACACCCTTCCCCAAAAAAGAGATACAACTGGTGGAGAAAAAGTGCACTTTCCTTGTTGCTTGACTTTCACTGGAACCCCATCCCCCAAAAGGACGAGACACGTCCGGAACAAGGCTTGGCACTTCGCCTTTCCCCGAAAACAAGTTACAACTGGTTGAAAAGCCTTCGGGATTCTGTCCTGGTTCACTTGGGTGTCTGCGACAAGCTCCGCCAGCCTCGCTTCGTCCAAGGGCATGCCGCGGAACTCCATGTCGGACAAGAGCTTGCCCAAGGGCCGCCAGTGCTGCTGGTAGAACTCCAGCATGGTCGATCCTGGAAGGCTCCCGTTCCAAAAGGAGCGGAGATCAAAGGGCTTTGGACCCAAAGGAGGGGGTGGTCCTTTTGGCTTCCCTTCAAACCCCAAAGAATACCCATGGGAGAAAAACAACACGGAGAAGAAGCAAAAACAAAAACGCCCAAATGTCCATGCTAACATGAGAGATTTGCCGCCCTGCCATGTGCCTAGTTCCCCTTGCAACAATTACCCACACGGACAAATCACCAAACAAATGGGCTAAAAGAGGCAATCCTCAAAAGCAGCCTTAGTGATTTTCTTTGGGACCCAGGCCTGGCTGCTCCACAGCCTCCCATGGCTGCTGCTTCAGCAACTGCACCAATTTCTGGTGCAAGTGGAAAATGGCAGCGGCTTTGTCTCCGCAGCACTGGATCCATTTGTCGTTGCTGTCCTCCCCAGCCTTGATCATTGGCTCAAGCCTCCAGCTGGCACCAAGCAGTTCCAGTTGCCTGGCAAGCCCAGCAACCGAGTAAACGTCATTCTGCTTGCAATTCTCATCCAAAGAAGGATCCCAAAGTCGAGCCATATGCATCACGTCGGCCAAAAATCCCGTTGCTAGCTGCCCATCAAAGCCCGAATTGACGGACTCCATGAGCCTGCGGAAATCTGCAAAGCAGTGATAGACCTTCTTGACCGGCGAGGCGAAGAATTGCCACCAGGCTGCCAGAAAGCTCGTGCCCTTGCCATGCAAGTCCACGAATGCTTTTGTTTCACCATTTCCAAGATCAATGTTGGGACCCCCGTAGATGGCGAGAAACTTTCTCCCACGGCGGAACTCCACAGAAACTGCGATGATCGGGCAGGACTGGAACATGTTGATCACACGCTTGGCTTCTGCCAATGTTGAGACCTCAAGTGTTCCCCCGGTGTCGCTGGTTTCCATGGAACTCGGGTCGCTGCAAAGCCTTTGCTTCAGCTGGAAAAAGTCCTCTCAGCAGAGGAGAGGCAAGCCATGGTTCAACATGGTTGAACCACCATTTGGGCGTGTCTTAAAACAGGAACCCCCCCCAAAAAAAAAAACAAATAAATAAAAAGAAGAACATTGATGCCCCGTTGAACCCCTTGAACCCTTGGTGGTGTCCCTTTGATTTCCCTTTAAACCAACCCCCAAGAGGGTGCCCACAAGAGATAAACCATGAAACTTTGAGTTTCCGGGCCAGGGGATTCCTGTGAAGGCTTCTCGAGGGTTTGGTTGTAGCACACGCGTGTTTGACCAAAGGAAAACCACTGGCGTGAACAAATTCCCTTTGGAAATTAGAATGTTGAACTGAAAAGGGAATCTAAGCTTAAGCCCTCTATGTGGTCATCCCTGTGACAACCACTGGGGGGTGCCATGAGTGAGGTCCCTTCAAACCACGAACCATGTTCCCATGTTCGAATGTCATCCAAAGTCCACTGGCAACCATATGGCTGTGGCTCAAAAAACCGGTACCAAAATGGAACCCTGGCAAGTGGAAACTGGAAACCCAAACCTGCGTTGCCCCTCCTGTTTAATTTGAGCCACACCCATATTAAACCACTTCAAACGTCAAATCCTACCTTTGACGCTTCTCCCCGTGCCTCCCGGTCGCAAAACCTGGCCACCTCCCGGCGCCACTTCTCGTTCCGCGGGGCCAGACGGATCTCCAGCTCGGTTTGGGGCACCTCCTTCAGCCGCACCACCTGAGGCAACCAAAATGGAGACCATGGCATGGCGGTCATTTTGGGTGGTAGGTGAATTCACCACCCATTTTAGGCTTCCTATTTTAGTCGTTGGATTGGGATGTTCACTGGGCATACGGGACTTTGACCCATGGTCGCAGGGGAAATGAAACCAAGGACTAAAGCCTGCGGAACCCGAGCGCTTGAATTTTGAGCCACACCCAGCTGTGGCCAAAATGTGACAAACACGTTTGCCATAGGAACGTGAAGAACAACACCGGGCAGACCCCCTGCCAAAAGTGCCACATGACAATCATTGTTTGAGGGAGGCCGCAATCCTCTTTCCCACAACCATGGAAGTGGCCAAAATGCTTTTGGACAAGTACCACGGGCAGAAGCAGCTCTGTAGTTTCCCTTCAAATCTCAAAAAAAAACTCATAGAGCCTGCCTTCTCATAGAGCTCTAGTGCTCTGGGGCCATGCTCAACGAGGCTTTTCTGAAGCCTGGGAGTGATGCCAGCCAAAGGGCCCTTCATCGCCGCATCGAGGATCCCTTCCAGGGATCTTACACATGGAGGGGATCCCCGCCCTCCCTTCTAGATTCCCCTGTAGATCATGTTCCATTGCCCAAATGCCAGATTTGGAGATTTGTCTTTTTGAGTGGGCAGTTTTGGGATGCATCCTTTCGGGAATCGTGCACACTATGCTCCATTTACCAACCACGGAAAAATGCGGGAATTGTATAGAAAGGGGCCCCGCTACTCTTATTCATGTCAACCCAGTTCTAATCCCCATTTTGTGGGACAACACAGTAAGAGGAAAGAAACAAACGGCTAGCACCCGGCGGGACAAAGGATTAATTTTAAACCCCAGCCTTCCAGACTGTCGTAGTGCTCCAACAACAGCGCGCCACGTATTCGGCCGATTCCCGGGACGCCAGGGATTTCATCGGCGGAGTCGCCCATGAGCGCAAGCAAATAGCCCATCTGATCAGGTCGTACGCCCCATTTTCTCATGACCTCCGACGCGTCGATGTTTTTACAGCCATCATCAGCACAAGTGATTAGGCTGACCCGGTCATTCACGAGCTGAAGCAAGTCTTTGTCTGCGGAAGCGATCTTCACTGATCCTGAGTTGGTCTTTGACCCCCACAAGTTAATCTGTTTTGCTACTTAAGGAAGTAGACATGCCCCCTGAAGGCTAAACTATTTCTTTCGGTCGTAGTAATGTGCAAGCAAAGATCGTTGCTCATGATGAGCCCAGGTGAGTGTAGCAATCAAATCGTCAGCCTCGTGGTCTGGAGAACACTTCCAGCTGTAGCCCATGGCATCACAGGCCTGTTGAGCTTTCGGCATCTGCAGTTGGAGATCAACTGGACACCTCACAGGCGATCCAACCAGCATGGTTTAAAACATCCTCGCTCAAATGGTGTCCCTTTGATGTTTACACTGTGGTTCCAATCAAGCCGCTATTGTGCGAAGCCCTCTAAAACGGGATATGTGTGTGCGTATGAGCGTGTTTTCAAATAGGTCAAACCTTCTTTTGGATGATTCTGACTGAAAAACACGCAAGGACACTTCAATCACTTCCCACTTTCATAAGAGTGCCCATGTGGAACCCCACACCTGCGACTGCTCTTGTAGGTCTGCAAGGTCTCTCTGCGCAAAGCGGAAGATGTGGGGCTGTCAAAGAGGACCGCCATATGCGAAGGGTCTGTGACCTCCTGAAAACACATGGATGCCAAGATACCACTGTTTGCTGGTTGGAAGCGAACACACAAAGAACTCAAACAGGTAACAAGTAAAAAAAGAAGAAGATGGACTAAGTCGGGCAATGGCTCATATATCCTATTCAGCTGAGAGATAAAGTTGTGCAATGCCCCAACCGGGGCACCCTGCCGATTGGTCAGAGAGGCTTTCCGCATGGCATGGAAGCCCTTGTACAACAGAAAATTCCCGTCTACCAAGGTCACAGTCTCAGGCTTCTCCGGAGCAATCACTGCCGAGCGCATGCCAGCGGCATGCGCTCTGTGTCGAAGCTTCCCAAGCCTGCGAGGTGCATAGAGACTGGCCATGATGCAAGCACTCGCCCCGGCCCCCTGAGTGAGGTATGGCTTTCTCCAGCTACGCCGGGCGCGGGCGTGTTCGCCGCTCGGAGTTGCTTGCAAGTGCAGGCGGGAAGGGGCGGAGCCGACCACGCAAGCCATGGCAGCACCCCAAAACAAGAAGCTTCCTGGTGTAGCGGCGGCATTCAGCTCAAGCTGGCAGCATACCAGGCTGCTGAAGCAGCACAACTGGCTCGACACGAGTTACACCATTGGCAAGCTCATTCGCTATAAATCAACACATGGCAAGTAGTCATAATTATAATCAGAACCTGGTATTGGCATGGTCTAGTCACAATCATGAAAGCAATGAACAGGGCAGCGTCACCTACTTATTATCGGGATTGTCCCTTACTAACCTTCACTTACCCGGGTTTTGATTGTGGCTCAAGTCATCATTTCAAGTTGTCCGCTTGGAAAGCTTGCCTAAGTTTCCCGCGCAGGGTCTGCACTGTCGGCCTCAATTTCATCAATTGCCACCTCGGCATGGCAGAAACTGAGGAGATTGCGAGTGACATTTGGCCATCCGGAGTGCCCACGTTTTCATGATTGCACGCGCTTTCCAGGGAATGTGACAGCTCCCATGCCCCTGGCTCCCTGTTTCAGTGGCAAAGGTCATCTCTGGTTCAACCGCCTTGGACGAAAAAAGACAGCGGGAACCATGAAAGATTAGGTTTTGTTCATCTTCAGAGCCGAACAAAATAGCCCCATTGGTGGTTTCCTTTAGCTTTCCCTTTACCCCCCAAAACGGCACCGAATAAACCCATTTGGCATTGCTCATGCCGTTCAAACACATTTTGCCATCTGGGGCTCTGTGCTAAAATTTCTTTGCTAGAACTCAAGAAGCGGTGAGAATATGAGAAACAAGAGCTATCAGCTTGCAATGCCTGGCAACGGTCTGGATCTCGGATTGCTGGCACAAAGACGGCAAGTGAGCTACCGTATGAGAGATAAAGAAGACTTAATTGATGATACTAACACCGGATTTGTCAATCTCGCAGTTTCATAGGGGTGGTTGTTCAAGGATTCCCTCTGAAATGTGACCTCGTATTCATCAATCACGGGTTAATGAACCCTGGGTCAACATTCTCGCTGAAAGTGGCAACCTGAAGCCCAATTGTCCACACCCAGAGGTGCATGTCCTCCCAACCCACGAGGAGTTGATTTGGCGGGTGCCACAGCAAACACGAGTGCCAACTTGATGTGGAAGACTTGCTTGAAGGAACATGCTTGTCGCTCTCTTACCAACTGAGAACGGTGCATATTGCCTTCCATGCTGTGGGATGTGAGCAACCAAGAAACCGTGTTGGCACTTGGTGATACAGGAACCCACCCCAAACAAACAACCACATGAAACAAACACGCTTGTTATTGGCCACTGGATGTTGAGGCCCCGGCCCCCAAAAAAGAAAAGAACACACAATACAATATGGACAAACAAAGGAATTGCTCCACATGTCTATGAAATCCCATCCGGGTGCCCAACGGCCGTCAGCTGCAACACCTCCTCGGCCTTGTTTCACGAGGCATGCATTGAGGTGCCTCTGAGGTTATCCCAAACCACCCGCAAGGTTCTATTTGGATATGGAGTGGCTAAATAACCCCTGCAAGGATATAACAACTTTTCCTGAAGGGCTAGTTTGGGACTGGATGCTTCCTTCCCGAGGTTCTGATGTTTGCATATGTATGTTGGCACACGCGCACACACGCACATGCACGCGTATAATATGTACACACAGCACCCGCGTTCTGGGCATCACTTCGGTGCTGATGCGTACACATTCTCCTAGCCTAAGTTGTCAATTCTGTGCCCCCGCATTCTGACAACCGATTCCCTGACGACATGAGCTGAACAACATGCGCCTTGTAACAATCAGTATCCCAGCCAATATGATACTGCCGTGCCAAGCCGTGCCAAGCCGTGCCAAGCGGGGGTTTTCAAACAAATGTATTCCAAACCCAATATACTACACCGAGTCTTTCCCGATAGGCCGACACTCGTGCAAATAGCTTCCTACAGCTAGGACCGTGTACCTTTGGGGATATCTGGGGTCTGCGGTCTGCGCGTTTAGCTTTCCGATGAACGTCTCGCTGCTTGCCTGGCTGTCAGGCGTGGCTTACTGTCGTTGGCGCAACTTGCGCTGGACTTGCGCCGGACTTGCGCCAGCCCTTGTTTGATTTGCGCGACTGGTCTCGCAGCACACTCCTCGTAAAAGTCAAGCTGCGCTGCAGCGATCCAAACAAATTGGGATCATCCCTTGCATCGACGCATACAACGGGGTTATTTGATTCACATTGTCTCCTGACGATGCACTACTCTGACGACGCATTCTAAAAACACTTTCTCGGAGGACTCCGGACACATTTCCTCCGTACGACGCATTGCGCTCTGGCGATGCGTTGCCTGGTAGGAAAAGTTGCAACCAACATGGTTTGAGTTATTGAGGCCTGTGATTCAGGGGCATCGTTTTTTTGAGCACCTTTGTTGTTCTTGAAGCGTCTTTGGGGCAAAACACGCACATGCACAGATTTAGACGTCTGGTCCAGATTCCAGCACCGTCCCGCCGTTTCACCGCCACTTTGCGTTCCTCCACGTGCCCAGAATTTCGCCTAAGCCTCATCACCACCATCGGCCCGCCTCGTTTCGTTTGTCTACCTTTCCTTCTTAACTCCATGCCGGACCCCGTCTCGCAGCCCCTCGAGTCGAAATCCAAACGCAAACCCAAGCATCAAACATGCTTCTCCAAACAAGGACCGATCACAAACACGACCTTCAAGGCTGTTGATTCAGCAACTCTGGTCATGTCTTCCGGAAAGTCTTGAGAGGGCTTCCTCACGCACCCAGCGCAACATTACCAGTGCATCGAAAGTCAGGCTGAGCCGCGCTCTTGAAGTGGGCTTGCGAACAAATGCAGCTTGTGTATGCATTTGTTGTTTCTCACCGGTTTTCGAATGCCCGTTTCTGAATTGAAGGGAACGGCGCTTTTGACATAGTCTATCTGGTGTGGCTCTTAAATGCAGTGCCTGACCCCACGCCCACTGCACTGTTTGAAAGAGGGTCCCACAAAATGTACGTAAACAAGCCATAAGCGTAGAAATCCGCGCAAGTGCGTGAACGCAGCATGAAATCAGCGCGGAAAACTTACGACCGTTGCTTGCAGTGAAAGACCGGTTGTTGCAATGAAAAGAGTCTGGAAAAAACAACTCCATTCTTCGCACGCAGTTGGACGCCGTCTTTCTAGAAACGGACGTTTAACAACTGTGCGCTGGCAACAGGGTTCCATTCGTCTTCGCGGAACTCATTTGCGGAATTTGTGTACGGAATTCATATTCATCCGCGGCTGCATATTGATACCCGCACAGCGGGATCAATGTGTATATGGTTGATATAGTATGCGCACACGCGCACACACACACACACACACATGCCCTTCTCTCTCTCTCTCTATAATACAATTATATATATATACACGAGTATTATATATATATATGCATACAATATTATTGTATATATGTATTCACAGGCGTAGCGTGTATCCCGTATGTGTTTGATACCGAGAACGGCTGAGGTTCGAAGCGAACACGTCGTGAACTTCAACGTGAGCTGAGTCGTGTGGACTCATCTCTCAGCAGCTGCTCTGGCTTGTAAAGAAGCTGAACAAAAGTGCGCTCCTCAACTTAAAATGGAACCTGAGAAACCACCGCCTTTTTGGGCCAGCTCCTTTTGTCCCCCTTTCCGGATTCCATGTCAAGTATATTCTTAGACCAGTTATGAACACCTCGTAGACATCTTTTGGACACCTCCAACTTTGCTTGCCAATGATCAGCCCTTCCCATGCCTGAAACTCCAGTCAATGGCTGCATGGTGCGTTTGCCTCGCAACTTACAGACATATCTGCGCCAAACTGATCCGGCCCTCCTGCAAACAAAAAGAGTTTGCTAAT